GCAGATAAAGTTTCGATCGTGTCTGTGAGCAAATTGTCGCTGGTCTGTGGAAGCCCGTATTTAAAGCGTGGTCTGTATTCTGATACATTATGGCTTCCTTTTCGGTCTCAAAATGGTCTATTAACAAATAGGGGCAATAAGCGGAAGCAATCGGGCATTAGGTCTATTTATCTTCTTTGAGAGCTACTTCATTAATGCTCTATTCATAATTATTAACTTACGACTTTAGTCTGTGCGAGATTTGTCTAAATATGGCTTATACAGACGATGATGTAGCAAGCGAGTCGGTTCAATAATCCAAATTACTTTAAGAGAGATAGATAGTTTTGTAAAATCCCCTAAAACGATTTCGAAAAACGATTTTATTCTGACATCTTCAACATGTTTATAATTCTTTCCATTACCTTCCCTAAAAAAATTTTTAGCTAAAAGACGGAAGGAGACGAGGAATGCTTTTGTCTAGCAGTGGGATGACAAAGGCTAGATGAGATGAGACAAATGAGATTAGGTAGCTAAAAGACTGAATAAGCTGAAATAAATTGCTGATAAACTGATACTGCAAAGCCAAATACTTCGAAATTTACTTGTATCTATTTACTTGGCAATTTATCCGATTTATGTAAAATACCAACTCACGTTCCATAGATCAGAGACATGTGCTTAGATGACCCACTGATGTGACGTGACCCTTAACTTGCAGTCACGTGCTGTGTAGCTCTGACACACTTATCTAAATCCACTGTTTAAACAAGGTGGTTTATTCGGACCCATTTTCTTTAAAGTGTTTATTTGTATGCATGCTACAAGCCCAGTGACAATAAATAATGAGGGATAATAGCCGCATTTACGATAATTAATGAAATGTACTGTGTTGCGCTCACATACTTATCCAAATCGGTGGTTTTAACAAGGGAGTTTATTGGGACCCATTTTCTTTAAAATATTTTTGTAATCTTTACATTTCCAAAATTTCTATTATTACAAATAAAAATAGCCGCATTTACGATAATCCAGATCGAAATCCGCGGTTTTAACAAGGGAGTTTTTTTGGACCCATTTTGTTTATAGTGTTTTTTGTACACTTTATATTTCTAAAAGTTTCATTACTATAAATAATTTAACAAAATAGCCGCATCATGATAGTTGATAACACAGTCCATCACCCGATATGCTAATGAGAAATGTAATAAATATGCCGAAAAGCGCGGGTATCTCCGCATTCCATTCAAGACATGCGCATGCGACGCCTGCCGCGGAATTCCCGCCAAAATATGCGAATAAACATTACTGTAGCGAAGAAAAACAAACCTTACAAGCAAAGAAAAAGAACACAGTAATGCTGAATTCGGATAAGGATTTAAAGAAAGCCTTCGCAACCTAATTTGGACTTTTCGACACGGCCACAAAGTATACTACCGGAGTAATACATCATTGGCGCCGTGTTCAGACCATAAAGCAAAAAAAAAGCTTTATTATGGAATTTCTGTTTCGCGAATCTGATTAATGGCGAACGCTTCTAAACAAGTCGTTAGAATCATGGTCTCCTCGAAATTTGCATAACAATATGAAGAATAATATTGAGAAGGTGGCCTTGGGAACTCCAAATGAAACATCGATACCGGGTTTTTACGAAAAACAATTGTGTATAATACACCTACAGGTTGTCAAAGTAAAGAATTTGGTAGACAAATGTGTTACAATAATAGCTGGTAATGAAGGTTCAATAGTCGACGGAACCACGGTGACTGGCGCCACACGCCTTGCCCTTGGCACGGGCCGCATTGTCGAAAACGACGCCGATTCTGGTAGCCATAACGTGTTTGAGAAAATGCTACCAGCTAGAAAAATTACAACTGTATAGTTGTATACAATATCAGCATTTTTTATTCAGGTTGAGTGATACAACCATAAATTTGCTAGCAAAAGCAAGCTAGAATCGCCACCGCTACCTACAATGCATACTTGCCAAATGAATGATTGACTTGACAAATAATAGGTCTTGACATCAAAAAACGGAAGTACTTCCTCACAATAACTAATACGTATATCACGACAAGAAGTACACTATAGTTATTGAGTTAACTCGAGCCAAGATTCACTTTCTATACATTGTCTCGGTGCATAAAGAAATTGGTTTTTTATCAGCGTGTGATTATGGTTCTGAGTACAGCACAAGAAAAAGAATAAGAATGGGGTAAAGATGAATTAGTCTAGAAAGAAGAAAAAGTGTTGATTTAATTACGTACAATACAAGTATTTTCAAATGCATGTGAAGAACATAATATAATGGCTAGTAAAGACATGGTGATAGAAATAATTATAAAAACATGCTAAAGAATCTAGAAACGTAGTTATAAAATGGGCTTAGGTAGCAACACGAAAGTTAGCCTTAGCTTCCGAAATTAAGAAGCTAATTCGTTTTCCGATTTTATTCGCTTTGTCTGTTTGTGTACAATGTACGTACATGGACGACATATTATTGTCGAAGTGTCTTGTCTGGCTAGGGCATAGGCCGCCTCGCTTATTACGATACTGTAGTATAGTTTTCTCTGATTACCTGAACCTGCTTTACCAATTTACCTGGCCGACATCGCAGTAGCGTGTTCTCTGGCTGAACCCCCTAACTCCCAAGCAATTTGAGGCCGTATTCACACGGGAAGCTAAAGTGGTAGACACACTGAGAAATAAGACAAAGCCGCGGCCTCCACACTTGACAATGAGATGATGACGCTTTCCACTTTCCCGCATCTTCTCACACGGCCAATGGAAATTTACAACTAAATATTGTTAAGAGGCAACCCTGAGGTAATACAAACTGAAGTCAGAAGCAAGTAGGTGAAATAATCATGGAAGCCTGACATACAGACAACAGGAGTTTCTGATGAAGACTAATAACTCCTGAAACAATTATCATACAAGACAGTGTGCACGCAGAAACACAAAATTCTGCTTTGGGATTTAGTCTTCATTTCTGTCTCATTATTGATTTCTGTATCTACGGACAGTGGGCGAAATCCTGTTTTACTTCATGTGGTAACAGGTTTTGTATATTAACTGTTTGTATGCAGAGTTCCTTCTGTTTGTAACGAGCTCTGAGAATGAAAAGCGCACAACTTAATTACCCCATTTGTACTCCAGTATGAGAGCAATCTAATATGCTCTTAGGTTCTCGGGACACGCCTGATACAATCAAAATAGATGAGAGAAAATTTGTATGGGAGCTGCGACGGTTTGTTACTAAACTTTCGATGTCGGTGAAGACACCCCTAAACCACTGATGAGGTAAGTATACCTTCAAAAGCAACGATTATAAATGAAAAAGAAATGAACTTTGAACCTAAAGTCCTATTGAAGAAAATGATGGTGGTAAAACCAAAAGTTACTATTACCTATTTAATAAAAGTGAACACAAACTCAAGCTACCTCAATGTACATGATGAAAAACTTAAAAGGAAATAAACTATCGTTTTGAAGAACAGTACGAAAATCCATACGAACGTTTTCCATACGAACTGAACGGTGTCCAGCTTAAAGAAAAGAAGACACAAATTGATTTAGGAGTATCCATAACAGAAAACCTAAAGTGGGAGGAACATATCACAACTATAACCAAGAAAGCCAAGAGTTTCATATACCTGATACGAAAAGCATTTGGAATACTAACGCCAGACATGATATTAAAAATTCTAAAAACATATATCAGACCAATTTTAGAGTATGCATTTCAAGTGTGGAGTCCATACTTTGTTAAGGACATAGACGTAATAGAAAAGGTACAGCGCAGCTTCACTAAAGTACCCAGGCAGTTGAAGAACCTAACTTATGAACAGCGTTTGGAGTCGCTGAAACTTAGTACTCTACAAGCCAGAAGAGAGCGCGGAGATCTGATAGAGACCTACAAGATCCTACACGGGCACTACGACCTCAAAGATTTTGATGCCTTTTTCAATCATGATCAAAACACCCGTCTGCGAGGGCACAGTCTAAAGTTAAAAACTCGTTTCTCTCACAACAATCCGCACAAAAACTTTCTTGCTAATAGAGTAGTCGCAAACTGGAACAAGTTGCCTCAAGACGTCATATCGGCACAGAACACAAACATGTTTAAAAACAAACTAGATGAACATTTAAAAAATATAAAATCGAAAGAGACTAAGTGATCTATGGACAGTGGGATACAGGCTCCATCAGTTGTTGCAACTGCCTGCCTGATAAAACATAATAATAATAATAATAATAAAATAACAAACAATAAAAAAGCTGTACCACGTTGTAAATCTTGATGCATTAGCGTTGTCAGATGGTTCCACGTTCCCAGTTAATGTTACCATGGGAAAATTTTCTCCTCAAGCACCTCACCGACAATGTTAATTTGAAGAGAATGTAAATATGAAGAGTGGGTAAAGTGGGTATCATGAGTCTACCCACTTAGTGTGACGGATGAGACATCAGTCAAGCTTTTAACTAATCACAGAGCCAGGTACGTCAAAAGGGGTACAATCTAATGGCCTTATTTTACTTGACGATGGACTTTCTTAATCTGAAGGCGAGGTAAGGCTAAGATTCAAAGTACGCGGTTGTACAACTTTTGACACCAAGGTTCATCGGGTCGTTCGTTGACTAGATGAAGAAGACAAAACGTGCTCAAGAGCCAAAAATAACACTATATTCTCAACAACTTAACAAAGTAAGCAGTTGAGTACTGGACTCCGATAGAAAAATGATCACAATGGCGAGCCAGACAGCCTTGCAGAGCCTAGCACCTTTTAAAGTAAAAAAAAAAACTTGATTAATCTGTTCAAGTGTCAGCTCTTCGGCTAAATCATGCCAAATATACTACCGTTTCACTCACAGGCTTGCGCCCAAGTATGCTACTTTCTGACATATTTTACGACGCTTTATGTTGCTTACTGACTTTACTACCTAAATCAAGTGCATCGCATTCTTGGTATTAATGTAAGGGATTTTGTACTCATAAATGAAAATTAGAAATCAAAATATGCGTCGGCCGGGGCTTGAACCCGGTACACATGGGATACCGTCCCCCTGCTATGCTACTGAGCTACCGGCGCCTGACCGACCCCTGCCAAATTAATATCTTGATGCTCGACATCTACACTAGTAGCAGCGGATTTTGTACTAGCTGTGTACGATTCATTCTTAGACTACATTTGCGTATTTCCAGTTCTTTTTAACCAGTAGCCGGTGAACCAGTTTCGCCACCTAATCACGGGGCGAACAAGCTCTGTCTATACATTTTCCCGGTTTGTTATGTTACGCGACTAATGCCACGTTATATGCTCTGTAATCTGTATCGCACAGGATTTCTTGTGCGTTTATGCAACTAGTAGGTAGGTTTTAGCTAGTTTTCCGTGACGTGTCTTGTTCTGTATCTGATCCGATATCGACTATAAATCTTCAGTCAATACATCAATACGTAGTATAAAATGAAGTCTCTTTTTTACGTTGCTCTGGCTACACTGCTAACTTTTTGTCGACCACGCAGCAGATTTTGAAAGACTTCTTGACTTGATGATTCCTCTTGACTCCTCTATCTATTAAAAAAACGCATCAAAACCTGCGTGGTTTAGGAGTTAGCGGTGTTCATTACAGAGAAACGCATATACAATATATTCTGGAAAAACGTCTTATTCCCTCAGGAAAACGATTAGCAGCGGGTGCAGCCGCTGGGTGGGCCACTAGTCGACTATAAATCTTAGACAATATACGTTGATGACTTTATTACTTTATAACAATGTCGTGACCTTAAAGTTCCACCTCGTTTCTGTTTTATTCTTTCCGCGAATGTTGCTGTGGATTAAGCTATGATTTGTGACTTCATTAGCAATTGACAACCTTGGAAAGTCCAATTACAATAAGAGAATAACATACAATGTTCATTAAATCAATATGTTCACGTCGTAAAGGCGGAATAATTTTAAATTACATGTTAGCAACAACTTTTTTCTAACGGAAAATCTTTAATCGAAAGACGGTTCGATTACTCTAGTATGTAATTTACCTCTTTTTTGCGTGCGCTTTTTCTAAGAGTCGTGAGTCGATAGTATATTAATGTTCTATGTCAAGTTTACCATGTCACGAGCGTAGCCAGTACAACAATTACTCGTTGATTCGATGCATATTCCATTTGACAATAGCCAGCAATCAAGAAGAGGTCAATCCTATAATTCTGTTAAATAATACTCCAGTTTTAATCGATTTTAGCACGGAAATGTATATTATAATAAGGGTGTAGCATGCAATGCTAAGTGTGAAAAATATCGATACTGCATTAAGGAGATCAGTCATGGTCGTAGATTGTGATCTGCTACGTTAGACAGGGAGGTAGTGACATAAAAACGAAGTAATTTTGTACAGAAAGTTAAAATATTTTCAGAATCTGGGCTTAATAAAACTTATTTAGTTGAAAGTGTGGCAGTTGCTCTCCGTTGCGTTCAGAACCAGTGAAGTACAGAAGTTGCGGAAATTTTATGAAAAAGGAAAAGTGGAATTTTTGCCAGACTACAAATCTTGCCTTTATAAGGTGGAAAAAAGATCCTACTACTCAACCACGTAGCCACACTTAGCTGCCAGACCTTGACCTTAGTAGTCCTTACTAAAATTAGGCCAGATTCCAAAAACACTATTCATTGTCCTAACAAAATATTTTCGTCGTTTTGACATGTCGCGGCCGCTTGGGCTACATGCGTAATCTAATATACTAACTCGAAGTGACACTCGAGGTCGCCATCATGAATTATCCGCTACAGTTGACCAGATTTCTATCTAACAATAGGTTGAGAATTCGATCTTAGCCCGCCTTTGTTTTATCCTTGCCTGTCTTAGTTGTTTTTTTTTTCTAGAGGACTTGCAAAATGTTTACATCGCAGACAGGATGTAGATGTTTGTTCTAGCAAGTTTATTTTATTTAGGACAATAAACAGTCCAATAAAAAACACTAAAAGTGGATATGACCTTGCTACCATTTTATTTGCATCTGCAAATGCGCCGTATACGGTTAAGTTGATTTTTATTGCCTGATCGTATAATTTGACACCTACGTTTTTGCCATCTATTACTTCATGATTATGTATAGGTAGCTGTCATCCACCTTATTGTTTTAGTTTTTTGCTAGTACGCGTCAATAATCGTAAGGTATCTACAGCCTATTTTATGTTGACGACATGTTTTTCATCATCATATCATCATATGATCACTGATCAGCTAAAAGGCGTCTACTGCTGACATAGGCTTACCCTAAAAATTTCCAACTTGTACGATTAAAAGCCGCCTTGCATTCAGTGTTTCCCCGATACCTTTTTCAATAATAGCCATGTAAATATACCTACGTTCAATCTCCGTCTAAACAAAATTACAGTCCATTCTATGAATGAAAGTCAAGTGACTGGTGTAGAACGAGTTAAAGAAGCGTTCATTCAATATAGAGGTCAGAGATCACGTAACAGCGAGTCAAGTTCAAACGGCTGGCCGCATAAGCCACTTCTACTGACACGTATCCGAAGAGTCTACAGGTGATAGTTCTTTCGTGATTGATTGGGCTAGCTTAGTATCTAGTTGGGTGCGGTCTAAATGTGTTTTATTATTTAAAAAAATGCGTTTCTACAGAACCTTACAGGAGACCTCCTGTAACCTCCTTCACAATTTTATCTATGCATGTGCCTTATTTTTGCTCTTTTCTTTTTTCGTGCCAGACTGAGACTGGTTGGGGCATTGGGCAATCCTGGTTCCTGAACCTTTCAGCCAAAGTTACAGTCCATTCTATGAATGAAAGTCAAGTGACCGGTGTAGAACGAGTTAAAGAAGTGTTCATTCAATATAGAGGTCAGAGATCACGTAACAGCGAGTGAAGTTCAAACGGCTGGCCGCATAAGCCACATCTACTGACACGGATCGTGACCGAAGAGTGTACAGGTATTCTTTCATATTTCATTAGTCTAGTCATCGAGTCGTTGGGCGACTCAGTGTCCCACACGAAGTACGCGCGCGAGTTCATGACTGTCCTAAAATATGCACTCCTTGTCATACTCGCCGTAATCCTCGCATGTGCGACCAGGAGGCGTATATATCAGATTTGTCATGAACTCGCGCGAGTATTGTAGTTGGGTACGTTCTAAATGTGTTTTATGATTCTTTTTTATTATACCTTATGGGACCTCCTTCACAATTTGATATATGCATGTGCGTTATTTTTGCTTTTTTCTTTTTTCGTGCCAGACTGAGACAGGTTGGGGCATTGGGTAATCCTGGTTCCTGAAACTTTTAGCCAAAGTTACAGACCATTCTATGAATGAAAGTCTAGGTACAGATGAGTTTAAGAAGCGTTCATTCAATATAGAGGTCAGAGATCACGTACAAGCGAGTCAAGTTCAAACTGCTGGCCGGATAAGCCACTTCTACTGACACGGATCATCATGACCGAAGAGTGTACAGGGGGTAGTTCTTTCGTCTTTGATTAGGCTAGCTTATTGTCTAAATGGGTGCGGTCTAAATGTGTTTTATGATTCTTTTTCATTAAATCTCTAGGACCTCCTTCAGCCTACTCCACAATTTGATCTAGGTATGCATATGCGTTATTTTTGCTCATTTTTTCATGCCAGATTGAGACAGGTTGGGGCATTGGGTAAATTACAGACCATTCTATGAATGAAAGTCTAGGTACTGATGAGTTAAAGAAGCGTTCATTCAATATAGAGGTCAGAGATCACGTAACAGCGTGCCAAGTTCAAACGGCTGGCCGCATAAGCCACTTCGACTGACACGGATCGTGACCGAAGAGTGTATTCCGTATTGGTAGCAGGTGATAGCTCTTTCTTGATTCATTAGTTAGGGTTTACATTATGACAAGTGGGGTTGCACAAGTCTTGAGAGACTCTTTTTTAAAATGGATGTTTGGGCTTTTACGTATTAAAGGGTTGTCAGGGAGTAAAACCTATTAAAGTTAATCGAAATTATTCTGCGCAATTATTGCTATGTTTGCGCATTGAAATAAACACTTTGTCTTCTATCCTATCTAGGTAAGCATTTGTGTAATTTCTGCTTTACTCTTTTACCCTGATGGACCAGGTTTCTAAAGTCCATTTCATTGAAGCTATTTTAAGCACGCTTAACTTAAAATACTCCGACACAAAATCAGGTTGTACAACATTCATGTAGACCACTTATACGCTAATGGTTACATTGGAATTGAAAGTTCCATCGTATTTCTTCTTTCTTTGACCTTACTTTCTCGTGTATTACTGTTGTGTTGCATTAGATACCTAAGCCTACTTTACCTAATTTGAGGTCTTCACTTTCTTCCGTAATTCAAAAATTATTTTTCTTTGTCTTTTGTTAGGTTCTTTGTTTATTAACTGACTCAAGTTTATTAGGCACATCTTAAATACTTATTACCCAACTGCCTCAGAAGGAGGAACCTGTCTTTTTTTGTTTTTCCCTTGTCTTCGCTTTTAAAAATGTTCACAACTAAAAGCGTTTTTATGTTTTTGTTACTGATTTCATCATCCTGTCTGCGTATTTACAAGTCCTGAGCAAAACTCAAATAATTCTGATGGTCTATCTACCTACAATGTAAGTAAATTGCGATCTTTTTTTTCACAGCTTCTAGTTTAAAATAGTTTGAACTGTGAACCTTCTTGTGAGGTCATAAATTGAATACTAAATTCAAACACATTACGCAACCAAATCGGTTGGCGGTTAGATGCTTTGCCGTGAACTTGACCGGCGGGATGCGCAAGCGTCGGCCAGCCTCCGCTCGTCTTGATCTTGATATACATGTCGCAGCCAACTGGTTTAAATCGCTGTGTAATTAAACAACTAGTTCTTTAATCAAACGCCGCCATCTAACCAAACAACTAGTTCACTGGCTGAATTTTGAAGCATTCCAAACGTTCAACACAGCAGCGGACCGAAAACCCGCTGTTTAATTGAATAAGTACGTTTTTTCGCCACTACGGCGCTAGAGTCGGTTTGTTTACAAGATGGCGTCAGCGGCACAAAAATCAAGACCGTATTTTGTTATTTTATGTCGAATAATCAGTAATTAGCGTCATTA